TTCAAATAGTAAATCCAATAGGATTCAATAAACATTACATTAAAAAAACTCTGTAGGCTGGCACACTTAGTTACCTGTATAACTAATGATATTTGAAGAGATTACCAGGAAAGAAAATTGAATTCCAGTGCTCTTGGAACTCCTTGGAGTTTTTGCTCCCTTTATTTAGGTATTATTGAACAGTCAAAATCCAATTTCAGCTATTTACTGAATTTCATCTTTAGCTTCCTAGTGTTGCAATATTTTGGCATCAAATGCAGGAGAATTCTTAATTTTAAGAACTTTTTATGGAATTTTTAAACATGGAAATATTTCCAAAAACTAATGCCTGTTTGGGGAGGGAAGTCAAATGCAACTGGAAGAAACTTTTATCTGTATATGTAATGTTTCCTGACTGTCTAATTTTCTTCTTTATTTGTATAGAGAAGTCTTGTTACATTTTCAAGTCTACGCATCAGCAGCAAGTAGGGTCTGTCATAGCAGATGTGTGAGGAAAGGATATTGTTTCAACACTAAGAAAGGAAAGAATTACTTGTGGCCCTTCTTGAAAGGAATTTGGCAAAGCTAAGGAAGCTTGTCAGATGGAAATTGGGAAGGATGAGGAACAAAGATATATCCATTGCTGTGTTCTTCCTAGTGCTGTTTCCTGTCTTCCCACAAGAGCTTCATCCTTTCCCTGATGTTCCCCTTGAAAATATCCAGTAGAGTCTGGAGAGACACTGTATTGCTACCCTGAAATAGTGATCTGTGTAATCAATTCCATTTCAGCTGCTGAATTTAAAATAAAACCACCACACATTGAATGGAGCTCAAATTCATTCCTTTTTTTAAACTAGAATGAGAAACGGGAAAAAATACATATGCAGTGTTATGTTGCAGTGAACTTTAAACAAAATATTTCAAAGACAAGTAAAGGGAACAAAGTGCTTGAGTTGCTAAATCTATGGCAGCAATGTCTTCTTTTCATCCAGGTTGTTTAGAAATCTCATGAAGGATGAGTGGGGCCCAGAATCCATTCTTTTCACTGTGCTTGAAGGAGTCTGAGTCTTATTTTCTAACTCTGAAGAAAGTGTTCTGCCAAAAGTGTCTTATAATCTATGATTTTCCTGCAGTCATTCTGGATTTGAAAGTTCACTTTTAATTAAAATACACCTATGTTTTTCATAGACAGAGCTGGATTTCCCAGGGCAGTCAACTACAGCAAAGAAATGGGCTGCTATACCTGTGACAATGAACGTATGGCCCTATTCTGTGTCGACATGTGTACACAGTGCTTTGGGAATTATGAACCCTGAATTATCTTGTAGATGGATCAGTCTTCAGTAAATACCCAAAGGATTTAGTCTGATTTCAGGAAAAAGAGGAAATTTAATGTGTGGTTGGTGGAACATCCTGAGTAGTTTTCTGAACTGCTAAAAAAATTACCACCATTTTGTTTTATTTCTTCAGTCAAGAAGTAGAAATATCTGAACTTGAGAAACTAGACTCAGAAAAAAGCTGTGCATTTTCTACAAATAAGTTATTATCCAGAAAAGGGCAAACTAAGTTGCATGAAACTTCCAATCTTCAAACCTACAGACCTCCTATGGCATTGAAACATAGCACAGTCTTCTGGACTGTTTCGTGTTTGCATCAAAGTCAGAGCATGAGTTCTATCTTGCTATGGAATCAGCAATCACGTGCTTGTGTCCAAAATTCACATCATGTTATGCACTTAGTTTGCCTAGATAGTAAGAGACATTTTTGCTTTAACAATCCATCTCTTTTTCCCATGTTCATCCTAAATTGAAGGCCTTTGTATTGACCTTTTAAAAGCAAAAGAGATCACATCTTTACAAAAGGTGTTGAAGTAACACCTCCTTAGGAAAAAAGAAAAAAAAAAAAAAGAAAGAAAAAACAAATGCTGGCAGAACTGTTGCAGAACATGTGTTTAAAGGGCGTGAAGTTATTTGCATGAGCACTTGTCACCTGCAAGTAATGGATCATCCCCTGGGCTGCTTCTAGCCCTGTGGATGCTCTGGGGGAGCAGAAAATAAGCTTAGAAGATGCTGATGCAGAGTAGAAAATGAAAAATAGAGTGGAAGTTTGTTTTCTCTCAGTGTGATGTTACTCCTGCTCATCTCGAGCACTGAAGAGGGACCAGACTTCTCAAAAGTGTGTAGAGGAGTGGAAAAATAGCAGGAAGAGAGATTATGAATAAGCTGCCTTTGGTTTCTTTTCAGATGCTGTTGTTTTCAAGCACTAATTCTGGCAATTCTTTCTTCCCTTTTCCCATGTTTGAACTTGTTTAAAACGGAGCTCAACCTTTAAATAAAAAAAAATAAAGGTAGTTGGAAGCACTTGATTTTTCATCTACCTTTCCTGCTCTTCAAACTTGCTTCTCAGAAATATCAGCAAGTGGAACAGGGCACTGGTCAGGCAGGAAGACACCAGTGGGAATGGAGACAACTGGGACACTGTTTTCTGCTCTTCCATTGGCATATTGCATGATTTTGGGGAAAAGCAGTTCCCTGACATTGGTTTCCCCTTATATAAAACAGGAGGAAATAAATTTTACAGTGGTTGTTGATTGCTTTCAAATTTTCTGATGAAAAGAGCTGTGTAAGAACTACTCAGTGTATCACTGACTGCATGAACCCTACTGAATCTGTAATAATTTGTCTTCCCCTGTGTCAGTTTGGTATGCAGAGGAAAATTACCTGGTTTCCTCATTTCTCATTGCTTTCCTCAGCGTTCAGGACCCCAGGCCACTGATGTTAAGCAGCAGATGCTTTTCATAGATCGGATTAAGAGTTGATGAATTAACAGAGCCTCATGCAAGCATCCCACTGTGCTCTTGAAACTGGAATTACATTCCTGGTAGTGATCTTCATGGCCTTGCATTTACCTTTAGAAAAATATTATTTAAAAAAAAGAGAGATTTGGAAAGAAGGGAGGTAATATTAAATTCTTGCTAACATATAGTGTTCAATATGTCACTAAAGTCCTAATTGGTATTTAATATATGGATTCTGCTGAATAGTGGATGTGTAATTCTCCTAAGATGTTTTATAAGCTGTAAGAGGAAGAGGTACAATTGTTCACAAATGTTTCACCGAGATTGTATTAAGTTAGTTAAAATTGCCTTTGAGAGCAGAGTTGCACTAAAAAGAGGGAGGAGAGATGGAAAAAAGAAACCCCAAAACAGGGTCCTGCTCGGTCTAGAGTTTCAGGCAAGAGAGGAAAAGGTCTAGTTATCCAGAGCCAGCTGCATTGTTAAAAGTTCATACTATCACTTTGACATTTAGAGTAGGACTCGGTGTCTTTGTAAATTCCTCTTCGTATTACCAGTGTAGGTCTCTGAGCTCAGACCATTTCACAAACCATAACATTTTTTAGTGAGTGATTGATCTGTATTATGTGTCCAAGCCATCAGAAGAATCTTGGGATGTTGCTTGTATAAACTGTAATACAATCTGATCTTAGGCATTTAGTTACAGACTTTCATAGACCTATTGGCGATACTCAGTCCTCCTGGATTTGGGAATAAAGCTTATCTGATACCTTAAAAAAAAAAGGGGGGGAGGGGGAGAGATGTTTAAAAAGAAGGGGGGGGGAGAAGGAAAAAAATAAGCCCCTCTATTCCCCACTTAAATAACTAAACACATCTGGTAACACTGTAGGATCATTGTCCTTTCAGTTCCTCTGTGGCTCATATTGCTACAATATTTCTTTGGTATCTAGTTTCCAAAAGGGCAATGTGATTTTTTGATATTTTTTTTTTTAAGGCTGTTTTTGTAGGTCTTGCAAATTAACCCATATGCATTGCAAGAAAAAACATGACTTTTAATCAGCACCATTTCTAAAGTTAGCGCTTGCTCTGTGTATATGAATATGTATATGAACCAGTGCTTAAAAAAAAGAAAACACACAACCTTTCTGCTAGTACTCAAAGCTAGCATACAAATGTGTTTTTATTATCAAAGAAAGTATGCCTAAATGTTAAGGTACCTTTCCGTTGAGGGTTTTATCATTTGACTTCTTGTTTTCAGTTACCAGAATGATAAAAATTGAAACTAAATCTTTTAATTCAATAAGAATGATGTTGAATTTTAGGAAGCAAAAAAAGGAATCAGATATAGACTCATGTGCATAGGAAATTAAGCATTCAAGAAATTAAAACTTTGTGAGCAACTAAAGGGGTAGCCTTAAGGTGTGCTTATTTGAAATGCCTGCATTTAATTTTACAATAAATCTGAATAGTTTGTTCCAATTAAGACAGTTCATGTGCATGACTTTAAATTGTACAGTAGTTCCAGGGAGTCTGTGGACTGCTTGTTTTACATTCTGGATCAAGTTCAGATTTTTAGGCTTCACTTGAATAAAATAAAAAGTCTGAACCCTGAAGATAATACAGATTGATAAATCTGATTTAAACATTCCCGTGTTGCAGACTTTCAGTGTATGTGGTACAGCTGAGCCTCAGGCCATGCACTAAATACATCCACAGTGCATTCCCAGGGCACCCGAATACCAAATGATCACATTTGAAAGGTTACCTTTCGATGGATTCTGACTTTTCTGCATTAGCCACGAAGATTAGAATTTTAACAGCTCCCAATGAGAGGTATTGTGAAATATTTACTTGGCAGGAAAAAAAAACAAAACAAAACAAAGCCCAGGTGAGATACTGTCTCATATTCATGAACTGGGATTTATTAGTTCTGTGAACGTCCTTGTGAGAATACGCTCCATAGTTCACACTTTAGGAAAAAAAAAAGTCTTGGTTTTCATTTATATTAACTGAAAATTTTGATATAAGTGTTATTGTAGTAGAGGTTTAAACAGAGAGAGAATCATGCTTGTGCTGAATATATCCAATACATCCTGCAGTCTTCCACAACTAGCTTTTCTGCAAGGAAAGTTATGACCATTTATCTCTCTGGAAATCTGGCAGTGGCTTTGTTAGGAAAATTGATGATAATTAAAGATGTATGGCTTTTTCTCCTTTTCTTTTACAGGTTGTGGAGCTCATTTCAAGTGCTATTGGTGACTTAGTTCAAGGTATATATTATGAAAACTCAAAGTCATCTGAGGTAAGAATTTCAGTAGTTTTACATACCTGAGAAGTTTGGTGTTATTCATGTGTGACTACAATGAATATGATGACTCACTCATCTGTTTAAAAGAAGGAGGGAGAGAGAGGAAGAGAGTCCTAGTGAGTTTCAGCGGTAACATTGTTATGATACCTGTGAACTCTGGTGGAAGTTTCTAGAAATGCTCAAGGAAGGACTGTTTTATTCCCGTGAGTGCTTAATAAAATAATTTCATGTATCATTACCAGAAGCTCTAGACATGTCTTCTTATGGGCTTTCCAAACAATTCCAGAGGTTTCTAGTTAGGATTCTGTCAGAGGCACTTATTCCTGTGTAGTCTATGTCACTGATATTTTCATGTTAAGTTTCTCATTTCCAAGACCAAAGATGCTTACAAAATGCTTCATCCCAAACTTGCATCAGATCCTTTCTTCTTCTGAGCATTCACATTTTGATAGTACAAGCATGAATTTTGTCCTGGAGCAGTAAGAGTGTAGCGCTGTACTCTCTTCCACCAGAAGTCACCGTGCACAGATTGCAGGAGTTGGCACGGGCAAAGATGGCAGCCCCCAGAGTTTCACACCAAATAATCTTATATTTCTTCAAGGGCAATTATAGATATACTGTGTTACTATTTGGCAATGAAAACTGGTCAAATTAGACACAGGCATTTTTGTCTTTAGTAGAGTATTTAATGAAACTTGCAGAGACACTTCTTGAAGTAGGTTTGCTTGGGCAGGGCATTGGAGTAAAAAAGCTTTCTTTCAATTGCTATGACTGTATCTTAACACGTGTAAAAAAAAATCCATAATCTGAAGTTACCATGACCTTTACAGGTTTTACGATAGCAATTTTTCTCTCACTTATGGGCAGTATACATATGTGGATACCTATAGGTAGATAGATTTACTTACAGTGACATTGTCTCACATGCCTAGTTTGCCTTGGAGACCCCAATCTTCCCATTCAGTAGGTGAAATGGCTTAAAGATTGCAGAAATGTAAGTTCATTTATATTCGTTTTGTATTTAGATTGCAGCTCTGGTTTACTATTGCCATGTTGTAGTATGTAGCAAGATTAATACCTTAGTGGAAGCCGTGATCACATGGGTTACCACTACAATAGATACCTGCACTGATGCCTGTGCACCAGCCAGATCACAGTGGCCAAGTGGGTAGTGCCATCAGCTAACAGGGGCTGGGCCCTGGAGGGTGCTGCTGTACCCAGCTACTCCTGTGGTCCAGTATCTCTTCCTCTCTCTCTCCTGCTTTGCAGCAGCAAAGACATGTTACTAAGACTAACCTCGTCTAAGCTTATTGCTCTCATTTTGGTTGAAATCTCATAGGTAGGAAATGATCACACTAACGAGCTGAGCTCTTCCCTTGGAGGAAGAGAGAGCTTCTAGCACAGAAGCAATAATGGCTTGCTCGGGAGATGCCTGGGGTGTGCACAGAGCATTCTCTGGCACCTCTCAGGAGGGAACCTGGGTGGAAGCGTGACAGCAGTGTGATATTGGGAACTTGATGGTCCTCAGTACCTGCTGCGTTTAGCCCGCAGGTAAACAGACTTCAGCCTTCAGGGCTGCTCCCAAGTACTGTTGCTCAAGGTTGTATGTTAAAATAGATTACTTCTTTGAGGTGTTTGCAAAGAACGTTTTAAATTTTATTTTCCGTATTCAGGCAGGTTTCTAAATACAAGTAGATCCCAGATATATCATATTTTAAAAAACAGCTACTCTTTTGTGTGTAGAAGTAAAGCCCTGCAAGTTCATCTCCACAATGAAGCTGCATTTTATCTTAACCTTGGTCACTGTTTAAATGAGAAATGTGGACTCTTGGCTTCCTGCCACTACAGAAGGTCCTAATTTTCTTTTTCTCAATCTTTCATTTTTTGTGTTACTGAAGCACTCCACTTGTGTAGATTGCAAGGAAAGTGCAAGATATAAACTAAACACAGCTGCATGATATTTACCTGCCCTGGCCCAATTACAAATAAGACTTATATGGCTTCAGTGACTTTGTCTAAAACGAATTGAAAGTACAGTATACCCTTCCTAAGGGGCATCCATGTATAATTAGTATGGTGTCATAACAGATACCGAAATTTACATTACAGTGTTTGGAGTTTAATCTTTATAATCAGTAGTGCCTGGCTTCTGATGAGACCTAGAACAAACAAGTGTGGCATCTACTTGAAATCTACTTGATTTTTTTTTTTATATCTTATCCTCTGAGAAATTTGGATTTATGTTGTATATGAGACACATCCCTGCTGCTTTCCTCACACTATTTTACTGAGGCAGTGTCCTGTTTGTGTCCTGAACATCTCTTCAGCAAAGATTGACAAATGGAGTAGGTCATTTGTTGGTCTGTCTTACTCGTTTCCTTTGTGCGTCTTCCCTCCATCCTTAATTGCAATTTGACTGAAGCAAAAATGTGAACTACATTTCCTTGAGGTAAGAGAAATGCTTTAATCTACTCGATAACTAAATCTCAAATGTCAAACATTATTTCTTTCGAAGAATAGGGCATAGTGATGAAATGGCATTTTCATTGCTGGGAATGTCTTAAATTTGGAAAAGCAGAAGGATACCTTCTCATTTTTTCTGTTTTCCTTCTCCCCCTCCCCTCCCTTTTTGAGGCAGGAAAACTGTACCTCATGTGTTAAATTACTTTAATGCAATTGTTATAAAGCTCCTTAGTACCATAAAATAGACTCATTTAGCACCAAGTTGTTTTGAGCTTTGCTAGATGTACCTATATTGTAGACAAAAATACAAAAACATCTGCAAAACTAACCTTTTTTCTCTGAGTTCATGTTTACCTTGAAAAACTTTTCAGTTTGCTTCATTTGGGTGAGCCAGTAAGAAAATGGAAAAAATCATTTGACCTTACAAGACTGACCTTACTTAGACCTGAAGACAAATAATGGATATAATTATTTGACAGCTCTCATTACCACTTTTCTTTCCCTCTGTAAAACCACATGCAATCCTACAGCCATCCCATTTTAGTACATTCTGTTTGGTCATTCTTCATCTTGTTTGCATAGTGAGTCATTAGATCTGTATGAAATGGGGAAAATAAAGACAACATTTAACTTCTCATCTTTATTTGAAGTGACAATCCCGAGTACAAAGTGTAGGCTTCAGCTGCAAAGACAGCCTGAAGGTTAGGGCTGCCTCTCATATTCAAAGTTTCAAATAGCTGCTGTGGTTTAAGACATTGCATTAGCAATATTAAGCTAATATTTTGGACTGTAAGCTGGAGCAGGAAGGGATGATGTGATAAACCTTTGCAGCTTTGTGTGCTAAATCCCTTCTCAACCCAAAATTCTGGGAGTCAAAGGCATTATTCCCAGTTCTCGTCATTCTTTCCTAAATCTAGGTCTAATTTGGGATTAAAAATTGTGCTTTAGTGAGTGCAGAAATGAAAGTTGTCTAATCTGGCCTTCAGTCATGATCATGGTATCTATTTTTAACAGAAAAAACATTGCACCAAGTCTCTGTTCCCTACTTTTAGGAGACTGAAGGCTTCTAAAATGTTTGTTAAATCACGGAATACTGTCACACTTTTAGAAACTTTCTGTCTTGATATCCCAGATCATTTAACGAATATTAATGAAGAATGCTTTAGTATCCCTGTCAGTTCGCTGAACAGGGACAAGTGGAAAGCTCAAGATCAAACAGCAGAATCAAGAGCAGGACTTGAGCGTTGTCTCTTGTGCTTTACCTGTCAGACCATTGTTGCATCTTAAAGTATTAGGGACTTTCATGGGAAACTGCTTTGTTGTTTGGGTTTTTTTCCTTGCCTCCGGAATATCTACTTCATGCTAAATTTACGTTACCAAAACTCATTTGAGTGTCAGAATGTGACTGTTATGTAAGACAAGACAATTTGCAACATATTCCACTGATGGCTACAAGAGGTGTTAGGCATTTTTGACATTTTTGAAGCAATTGTGTGAAAATTCTGCATAACTAGTATGTAAAGCAAGTGTAAAAAAAAAATACATTAGTAATAAGTACTCATTTTACCAAATAGTGAATTAACAGGTATTTGGTTTAGACCAGTGTAGGTTTTCTTAATGAAAATAAGGGCTTTTTCTGGCAAAGCACTGACTACATGCAGTGAATTGTACCAAATCTTCTTTGATGTTTGGTCACCAGCTCTGCTTTGAGGTGTAATGTTTTGGAATACTACAGATCTCCATCAACTGGACTGCTGTGAGTCTGTGTTATAATTAAAGGATTTGCTTATAAATTTTACTATGGGAGGTAAGTCAAATGTATTTTGAGTCATGTAAGCCACCTTTCAGCAGTGCAGCACAGTTAGAGCTTTCACTTTTTCTTTTTTTTTTAACAAATGTTTTTGTTGCAAGACAAAAGGCAAGGATAAAATATGGAATTTGAGTAAAGAGCATCTGTGAAAAGAATGGGTAAATGTGTCAGAGGGGAAAAAAACAGCTAGAAAGAAGGCCAATGCTGTTTGTTTACTGCTTTTGTTCTTTTAAATACTAAGCTTTTCCAGGGAGATTTAAAAGTAACAGATGTGGAGAGATATTTCCATTTATTAGAAGTTTAAAAACTTTTCTTAAATTGTGTGTTGCTTTTTGTACAGTGTCATGATAAAAGCATTAGGCAGTCCGTGGCATGCTTTATTGACCCTTTTGCAAACACCCTTGTTCCTCCAAAAGCAGTGAAGACATCTATTAAGAGACCAATAAAAAATGCCCTGTCGTGTTCAGCAAGCAGGAGTACATCTATTGAAAGCTTATGTGAACCATGTGCAAGACACTTTGCAGGGTCTTGCTACCAGTAGAGAGATTCATAGTTGCAAAGGATTTTAATTATGTAAAATAGAAGTTCTTGAACTACCTAACTTGAAACTTTAAAATGGTATTAAAAAATATTTCTGTGTGTTTCTGTGGATTATTTGTCCATTGAGAACTAGACTAAAGTTTGATGTAAGTGGTTCAGACAATTTGATCATTTTGTGCAACAGCAGATAGATGACTAAGAAAGAGCTGCCATGGTATGGAAAAAAATAAAATAAAGGCTCTCTTGAAAACTGTAGCTGAAGTTTTACATTGAAAAGGCCCTGACTCCTTCCTGGTTTTGCAAATGGTTGTGTGCACTTTTAATACACAGTTTTCGTTCATATTTTCCTTAATATGTTTTCAGCTGAACTGTATATAAGCGTCTTCTTTGGTGTGACGAATCAAACTGATTTATTTTAAGTGCCACTTTTGTACTGGGGATCCTTGTTACCACCACTAAGAGCTGCCCTTCCTGATGGTTGTGATTGCATATGTTGTCTTGCAAATTTCATTTTCTAAAAGTTTTTTGTTTCCCATTGCCTGAGATGATTGTTTCAAACCCAATTTAAATTATCGAAGTAGCTTAACATAAAAATCTCAGCTAGCCAATTTCTTTCTAACAGAACTGTAACCAGCCTTGCCATTAGTAAAATGTGAGCACCCTCAGCTGTTGTTAATTTCCTATTGGAAATGATGATCAGCAGAGCTGGATTGGGGTATTTTCCCTGTACTCCTATGCCAACATTATCCAAACTGTATCTAGAGTTGGCTGCTTTCTTCCAGGGATGGTGAGGAGTTCATCATTCTTAATCCAGTTTCTGCTACCCAGGTGGCGTCAGGGTTGATTATCATCTGGACCCACTTATTAGTGACAGAACTTGTCAATGAGGTCTGAGCATTGGCAATTACGACTAGAATTTGAGTTTAAATGGGCTTTATATGAAAGGTTGCTAGGAGTCTTGTGGGCCAGCTAGTGTCCACTTTTGAAACATCCACTGCTGACAAAACATAGCTTACAAGAAAGTGAAAACTTCTCTAAAAATAACAAGTGTTGTCATGATATCAGATTTCACAGACTTTGCAATCTAGAACTAGTTTCATTTTTCCCTTAATGTATTAAGATAGTGTTTAGATCCTGTCATACGTACCCTTTTAAGAACGCAGTGTGGTTGGTGGACATTATGTATGACATGAGAGTTAAGCTTGGGGAAAAAATGGCATTTGAATTGTTGGAAAACTTTGCTAAAGCAAGGTTGTGTCTGCCTCTGCCTTCTTTAGCAGCAAATGCTTTAGGAGTATGTGGTCATAAGGCATTCTGTGATTAAAATCAGCTATATTTTGGCATGCAAGCTCTTATGCTAAAGCATAGCCATATGGGCATAATGCCTTTTTACAACTGGCTTCATTCTGTAACCAAGAGATTCATGATACCTATGTTTTTAAGATTTCAATACCGTGTCTTTAAATACACCTCAGATTTTTGTCCTTTTTTTGTTAGATATCCATTTTAGATGCTTGAAGCTCCTACATAATGTTCATGCAATGGACAGTAACTTCTTGTACCATCATTTTCAATCCTCGGATGAAATTCAAACTTTTTGAAGAAGAATATATTTTTGTAACAAATTATAGAATTAATTTCCATGTAAATGTTGAGTTGCAATGACTGTTTTAACTTTTTCAGTTCCTGCAGTGGACATTTGTTAATGTCCACATTTTTGTTGCTACTCAAAGGCTCTAGCAAGGAATCATTTTCAACTTACAGGTCTTCTGAAAGATTTATTTAACTTCATAAATCATTTCAGGATACCATTCTAGAATATTTTTGCCTTGGTTAGATTTAAAACAAATAATTATAAAAATCACTGCCAATTTTCAGTATCATCCAGCAAATTTTAGTAAATACTGTTTTTTCACTGAGCAGATTGGTTGTTAAGTAAAAGATTGTGTTGCGTCTTCCAAGAGCTCCTGATTTTAAATTTAAAATAAATTGATCTATATCTGAGTGAGGGGAGGGGGGAAACAACTTGATATATAGGAAACTACTTGAACTAAATGCTCATTTTGACATTTTGCCAGTCCTGGGAATTTACACATGCTCTGGACTGAGTTAAGATATTAAAACAAATATACTACAGTAAGATGGAACACAAGGAAAGTTTAGGCTTGACTTTGTAAGTTATCATATGCATAACAGCAAACGTGGTTTCTCTGTTCCTCACTTTCCTTGTATAAGTTAATAGTATGTCTGAAAGCAAAGACATTTTGATACAGCTCTGTGTTACTTGGCATTGCAGAATTCTCCTACTTTTTCCATTAGTCTCAAATTATCCTCTCCCTTGTAACGCAGCACTTCTGGGTGATACCCATAAGGGAGGAAAATTAGAGCTGAACGGATGGATTCTATTTCATTTGTTACCGATTTCATGACAGATAATACCTTGCTAGAAAACTATAGGGTCACACAGAATTACTTCTTGCTCATTTCTGGGTAATTTAATTGACGTCACTTTGAGGGAAAAGGCATGTTATATAAGAGTCTTTTTTATATTACTCTTTTAAAGAATACCTTTCAGCTTAGTGTATGGTACAGATTTGGCTGAACTGAGAAACTGCAAACTTTTTAATGTTTATATGCTTGAGATTTTTTTTTCTTTAGCTTCTCATTACTGATTTTAGCTTTTTCGAAGCAAAACAAATGCGTCTTTTCTAGTTTTGTTTTTTGTTAGAGAGTACCTAAAGGTGTGACAATAACATGTGTATGTGAGAAAGATTACAAGTCGTGTCTAGCTTTGAAGATCCATTTGTAAAATAGTGGCATTATTAACACCATATGAGCCAAAAGGAGCTGCAGTTGAATTTGGGTTTGGGGGAAGGGACTGGGTTTGTGTTTATTAAAACGCTTTTTGGAATGTAATCCAAATCAGTATTTTGGATACAAAGGATTTTGAAAAGTGGTGAGCATCTCTGACCTTACAGTCAAGGTGATGAAGCTCACTAGAGGCATCACTGAGATCTCTGTCAGTCCCTCGGGGAAGTTAATACCTGACATTTCTGAATTACAGCTTTTTTCTTCTTTTGCCTTTTTTTTGTCCCCTGCTTTTTTAAATGCTTTCAGTCATTTCTCATCCTTAATATGGCAGTAGATGAGGTACAAGTCCTCCATCAGAGCCCTTCATTTTTTCCAGTGCAGTTCTACAAGGATTTTTAATACCTTTTGTAATTTTTTTTTTTCCTTGACTAAAAAGGAGAAATTGTAGGGACTTCTAAATTTTATTTGGGTTTGTTGGTTCTTGGTAACTGGCAAGGGGCTGAAGTGCAGATGTACTCTGGGTTGGGTTTGGGGGAGTGGGGTAGTCTTTTTTGCCTTTTTTAATTCCCAGTCCCTCAAGAGGAATATAGTCATTGATAATGTTCAGTGTAATGATATTCATTAAGAAAAAGATCTATGTTAGATCTGTTGACAGCTCCATGTATTTTGCATTGTTCTTTTTGAGCAGAAAATGGAAATGTTGTTTGTTGAAGAGGCCAGTATATTTATTCTGATACTTTTCTCTACTTATCCCCAAAAGAATGCCCTTCTTTATTTGGCACGATGGCACCCAGAGTTTTGTTACTCGCTGCATGTCGTGTTATCCTGTGCCATACTGTTAACTTGCGTGAGCTGACACAGCTGCAGTTCTGGTGTGTTCATGTTAGCCTTTGTTTCATTTTCAGGAGAACTGTCTTACAGATGATATCTGCATATCCACTTGGAAGGAGCAGGTTTTCCTGTCACATAGTGCCTTGCTGGCGAAGAGCTGCCAGGCTGCAATGGAGCTAGCAAAGCACAGCACTGAGATTCAGGATATGGCATTTCAGTATGGAAAACACATGTCTATGAGTCATAAGGTACACCTTTTCCTTTTGTTCTGGGATCTTAAACACAGAAAGACTTGTAAGATGTGTTTCTCTTGAGCTCTGTTGTATACTGCCACTATGCTGTAGGCTTTCGGCAGCAGGTCAGTGACATTGAAAGATTTGACTGCTGACTGGGATGAAGATGTTTGCAGAAATTGCTGGTATGAGCAGTGCTTATGAACTGGCAAAATCACACTCCTGGCAATGTAGCTTATTTAATTCAAGGCTCTATTAACATCTCTAACTGCATCTTTCTGTAGCAGCTTATGACTTTACCTTCTCTGTTCCTACATTCTTCCCAAAGCCACTGTCTCGGTAGCCGGAGTTGCAGGAGGAAGCGGAAGCATGTGTTCAGTCTCAGCTGCCACCATGCAGAGATTCATACTAAGAGGTTCAATTGTCTGCAGCAGCACATGAACTGAGGCTTGCGCTGCAGTGGCTCTAGGACTTGCATACATTTCCTGCCGAATAATCTGCTATGGAAGTAACTTCCAGAGGGGGTAGCTGGAGGATAAAGAGGGAGGTCACCAGATATGGACAGGAGCAGCCTACACCTCAGCAGCAGTACGAGGATTCTGACCTCCTTTAGAAGTCTTTCCATCCACAGCAACAGTTAGCCCAAAGGAAAACACACACTGTGTGGAACTTGGATGCTTGGCACTCTTATTTTGCCCTAAAGATCTGTTCCTACTGTATTGCACTACTTGCAAGTACAGATGTAGCTTGAGACGGGCAGACAGATTCAGCTGAGTTAGTTCAGACAGTTTCTCGTTCCTCCAGGAGAAGGAAGTGGTTTTATAAAGCACAGCTTTAATTCCACACAAATGCCACTATGTGGTATTACTAGATACAACTCTACCAGTAAATTGCTTCTAGTGCAGACTATAGCCTTAATATTTTGTGTATGTTTTAATGTTAATACAGTCACCATTGACATATAGTTGTGTATAAAGGATTGTATAGTTTACAGAGAAAGCTCCTAGCTGTGTAACTTTTCCTTTGTCAGAAGGAGGGTCACATTTCATCAGCTTCCTCAGTTACTGAAGAGTAGAATATATAACCCTTCACAGATTAAAACCTGATATTCTTTCCACTAAAGACTGGATCATTCTTTCCTTTGTATTTTGTCTGTTTCCTGCCACTCAACAGTCACCTCCTTGGCTGTGTCCCGTCGCTTGCCCAGCTCTGCAAGCTGTCCTTTACAAGTTTCTTTGCAGATTCTCTACATGCTTCTCTTTACAACAACTTCCCGCCACTGCACTGCTTACAGCATCTTCTTATCCCTCCCCCAAACTTGAAAAAGTGCAACCAAAGTACAAGTGTCAAAGCAGAAAGTGGCAAGTAGGCATAGAATCACGATATGGACCTTCATTTGTTGAGTGGGTGGATATGTAATAGACTGTTGCTGGGAATTGAAGGAAGATGTTCTTCTCTTTCAGCTACATTCAGACCTTCAGCCATTTGTTAAAGAAAGTTCTCCTGAAACTGTGGCCTTCAGTTTGAATTCTGCTCCTGCAGTCCTCCATCAGGAATTCCTTGGGAGGGAGGCATGGATTAAACAGATCAGAGAGGTAAATTAAATCATTGTTTAGAATTTCCTAGTTTTGGAGTTTGTATTTCTCTTCTTGTCTATACTTTCCATCTGCGAAGAAACTTAGAAACTAACATCACAAAAAACTTAGAAACTAAGAAGACAACATAGAGGTTACCTCTGCTCTCCAATACTTAACACCTCTCTCTTTCATGCTTTTAAGAGGGGGAAATCTAGGGACATGAAAGTCAAGCTCTGTGAAACTTCCGTGTGTTAGTGTAACAAGTGGATTCATATGCATGGAGCATATATGTCTGTTCCTCTGCACTACTTGTGCAAGCCCATGTCTTATCTTAAAGCTACTTTGACTGATGGCTTAAAGCTACTTTCACTGACGGCTTAAAGCAAAGAAGTTTGCATTACAGTTGGTTAAAGGTAGGCACGTATTTCCTTCTGCTAACTTGGCCCTAGGAGCAGTATTTCGGACTGGGGAGGGAGGAGGGTATCTGGGGAACTTTGGTTACTGACCACTACAAAATATTTCTGAGATCTTGAAGTGAAGCAAACCTTTTGTCATTTTGAAATTGAGGGCTGGTAGTTTATAATGTGTGATGAGGAATTTTGGAATTCTACAATCTCAACACAAGGCTCCTATGTGGGTGGAATGTAAATGAATTTGGATGATTGCAGTTGGAGAGTAATGGTATTACCACAACACAGTGTATAAAAGCTTTGAAACAATTTCCCATCTGCAGAATCTAGAGGAGGTTGTGGGACTCCAGGAGTGCCGTCTGTCTGCTTGTTAATTCTCATACCAAAACTGTGCATTATAGAAACAGTAAAGCAGTTCTCTCTGAAGGGGGTGGGGAAGTGACATGAACTATGCAAAAGTGTTTACTGACTACTACTTTAGCTCAATACATTTTGTACACCTTGTCCAGAAGCGTTTCTTGGCTTTTGTTGATTTAGAAAGGAAAATTACCTTTCATTAACTACAAGCTCTGAAGTCACATTCACTATGTGTCATTCCATGTAGGCCAGCCACCCAAACCAGAGACTTTCTTGTGTTGGCAGTACTCATAAGGGTATGCTCATAAGCAGCCATCTTGTGCAATATCATTTATATGGTTTAAATAAGCAAAGCATGCACAGTGCACTCAGTCCCTGGCAGGAAGAATTTTTCTTAGTAGCTGGGGCATATGGAAATCACATTATAGACCTTTAATTACTGCTAAGTAATCTGGCTTTCTCCTTTGATTGTTTTCCCATGTAAGCGTTCGTACAATGGATTAAAGGCAGCACCTTGCCTTAGCAGCTTTCTTCTCCTACAGGAAGGTTTTGGAGTTCAAGAAAGAGAGCCCCATTGCACCTAGTAACCTCCACAATGGTATACTGCTCTGAGAGCATGTGGCTGGAACTCAGTGCATGTTTTAAATGAAAGCAGTTTACAGAGAGCTCGTGAAGGATGCCTGAACTTCTGTGGAGGGCCCAGAATTTTAGTGATTGTCTCACCACCGCTCTTTTGTCAGAGGTCTGGATACAGTGGTTATTCCCAGGTTGGTCTTTGCACCTTTCTGCTGCTGAGCTGAAGATCTTGTCTTCAAGGTCCCTTCTCTCTTCATTTGGAAAGAGCAAAACACATCAGATATCCAGGTGTGGAAAGTTGCATAGACACTAGATATATGTGCTTTGAGAAGATTAGATTCTGATTTGGATGAAATTTAGAGACTGCCTTAAAAGGGACTTGGGATGTGTGTAGAGAGAAGCCTTGTCAAAGGAGGAAAAAGCATGTCTACGTATATGTGTGTGTATACATGGATATATACATATATCTAAATATATATGTATACACACACACATATAAATATATGTATACACACACACATACAGGAGTGAATGATCCATGAAGACCCAAGTCTTTCTTGTTCTTGCTGGCCTCACCACCAATACTCCCCACCTTTGTGCATTTAAAACTAAAATGCCCAGTGAACTGTTTGGTCAAGTGTCTATATTAAAAGGCGTATGGGTTAGAGTAGAGACCTAAAATGTTTTGGTTTTATTTTGGTTTATTTTTTTCTTAAGGGTTGTTTTTTTTTAACCAACAAACAAAACACCACACCAAACCACCCAGCCTTAAATGGTTCTCAGAAAACACTGTGGTAGACAGACAAATGCTTGAATGCTCTTCTTCAGACAGTGTGTTGTAATAGTTGCTGAATTCAGTCCCACTGAGCTTTTGGAAAGATCCATATTCTTAAAATTCAGCAAATAATTCAGGATTATGGGATGGAGGATTTCCTAGGGGTCAAAAGACAGAAGACTTGGTCACTTTTAGCCATTTATAGACACCATTTACTAGACAAGAGCAAAAATTCTCTGGCTTCAACAGGCATCTGACGTCTAAGCAGTGAGGTACAAAAGACCAAAGTTTGAGTGAAGAATTTAATGGAATCCCTCAAGTCTACAAGTCTAGAATCCATCCTAGCTCATAGCATTTGTAATTAAAAAAAGGGGTAAGTCAGAAACAAGAACTGTCACATCTAGGCCTATGTAAACCATGTGCCTTGCAGCATATTTTTCTGAGCATTCTCAAAAGAAGCAGGGCTGGAAGAAAAGCATTTATCAAATGCTTTATCAAGCATTTCTCAAGTATAGGATTTAAGACATGTAGAAGAGACCATCTCATCTGAGAAAGAAAAGTCAATCTTGGAAAACATCCTGAAAACCTGCTTCAAAAGCATTGTTAAACCTTGTGGTCTACTTATCTGATGCATTCTCAGTAATTTAATGGGGGATTTGGGGATCCTTTTTGGATCCTGGCAAGGTGAGTTGATTTCACACCACCTTATTTACTCATAAAGAATGTAATGGTATTACTGTCCCTCACTACTGGCACATGGTGATCTTTGATATTCAGGAAGAAGGCTGAGTTGAGTTGGCCGTTCATGTGTCTAATATGGTTAGTAAGCAGAATCTTTTCTTTGAGGGCCCCAAGTCCTGACATTCAGAGGCTGAGCTCCCAAACCAAGCAGTGAGGCCTAGAAAGTTATCTAAGTTTGGTAAGAGTGTATATCTTTTGCAAGACAGGCTTAATACCTTTAAGGAAGCTAAAGCAGGTGCAGAAGTCTGACGTAAAAGGGAAACAAAGTCTGTGTGTCTGAGGTTGGGATCAGGAAAAGTCAAAGATCCAAACTATTGAGAGGATAATTAAAAAAAAAGCAAAGGTGTAGCTGTAGTAAAGAAGGCTTAGGAAGCAGATTAGCTGAGGTTGCTGCTTGGAGAAGCACAACTGCCATTGACTTGAATTCTTGAGAGAATCACAGAATGGTTTGGGTTGGAAAGGACCTTAAGATCATTTAGTTCCAACCCCCCTGCCATGGGCAGGGACACCCCCCACTGGACCATGTCACCCAAGACTCCGTCCAGCCTGGCCTTGAACACCGCCACGGATGGAGCATTTACCATTTCTCTGGTATCTCTCCAGTGCCTCACCACCCTCACAGTAAAAAACTTCTTGTCGCTTGTATTGTGTATTAAATGTAAGAGACGGCATGCTGAGCACACCTTTCCCAATATTGCCAAGACTAACAAGCACTTTCCTCTAACAAGCTGGCAAATTCTCCACTGCAGTGTGAATCTGCATATAGGCATATATGTCATTTATTAAAGAACGTATCTGTGGTGTGTTCTGATATACAATATAACTTGATAGATATATTTTGAAGAAGCTGAAAGATCCAACCAGTACTAATAAAAGTTGGCAAATCAAGGAGATGAGAATACACAAATAAGGAAGCAGTAACTGGCAGTGATTTTACTACTCCCAAATGCTATCAGGCTGTTTTCTTAATATGCATTCCAGAAAAGCTGACTCTTAAGAAGCTTAAAGAGAGTAATAAAGAGGTTTCATGGATCAGTCTCCTTTCTCCTTCAGAGAAATCAGTTTTAATATTTACTGTTTTCCTTCCTGTTCTGCTTGCTCAGTCTCTCATTGGTTCTTTTCTCTGTTCTTCCTGCCTTACAAAAATGAATTAATTTTCCAAATCTGTGCCATCTCAGTAACATCTCTTCAGTGCTGTGCTTGCCATTGCAGGCCTCAGCTTTTCTCCTTATGCCAGCTCAACTGCTGCCCTTGGCTGCTCTCTGAAGTCCCCACAGAGGACATGGAGAAGTAGTAGTCCTAATCTACATCTTTTCAGGAGATGTGTTCTGGAAGAACTGAGGTTTGTGATCTTCCCTTGTGGAGGCTAGAGGAAAGAAATGGGTGATTTTTTTTCTCAATGTACCTTAAAAGAGAAGAGCTGGAGTTCGATGAGGTGATAATGATAAAGCAGGATGTGACCTAAGGAAGGGCTTCAGGCTGGTTAAGCAGGAAAGCTATGCATCTGACAGACCACTGCCAGTGGGTGAGGACAGACATCTCTTCTACAAAGAGAGGAAGCTGGACCACATACTTTTCTGCATCTGGGCAAGAAGAAATTTAGAATTTATTCATACTTCTTTCTGAATGTATTAGGAGTTACAGATTGTGTATCTGCTACCTAAATGAAGAGTAACACTGATACTTAAATACAATTCTAAACCAAAACTACTTCTAACCTAGGTCTAATAGCACTGATCCGGACATCCCCTTTGGACAGCTTTAGACTATTACCTGTGTGCAAATCACTGTGGATATATGGAGAGTACTCTCTTAAGAAAATAAATCCTGTTATTATTGATAAGAAGGATAGTTTATTTTGGAATCTCATGGGAGAAATTAATTAACGCCAACAGCAAGATTTCTTAAGACCAGAACATTTTGAATTCAACAGATGTTTAACCACAAGTCATGATAAAACCCTAAAAATTACTTTGAGTATCTGCAGATCTTGTCTGAAACAGAACCATGTTGTATAAGCTGGTAACATGTTTGGTTGTATTTTGGGGGTTTTTTTCTGTAGCAGACTCCTAAAGAAAGTCAGTTTAAAGTAGTAGGTCTTTTAATTGCATTCTTTATTCTTGCAGCTTTAGTCAGTAGTATGTAATGGCTTACATAAAATCTTTCTTTCTCTTTAAGGCACAAGGAAAAGGAAATATAATGGACTACAAGAAGGTTGGTAAATTGCATTTAAATCTCATTATTTGTAAAGCTTTTTTAAATATTTCAAGGGTATTCTTGACAGTTGAGAGCAACTTTCTAAAGTCAGTTTATGATTTGTGCGTGTGTATACAGAGGGAGAGAAAATGGCTTGTGCAATTTCTTGATTTTAAAAAGGCAGTAATAGTGGGCTGTACTGTAATTATCAAATGTAGCTATGTAATAATGATGCTTGCCATTATTTATCCCATTTACTTCCCCAAACTTGGTTTTGAAACTAAGCTTCTGATGAGTTTTCCTGTCTTCTTTTTCTGCAGTTATTTGTGGGTTAGCTCCCATCAGCTATCTATGTACTGATAGAGTATGCAGTTACTTAATCTCACCTTAATGCCATGCCATCTATTAAAAAATATACGTACACATGTTTTATAATAATCTGTGTTTCTTCCAGTTCCCATTATAACTTTTAGTTAAGTCACCACTGTATTTGCTACTGGGACTGCTGTATAGTAAAGGCAGGCCTGAACTAATTAACTTAAAGTAGCTGGGACACTGTAAGGCTCTTGAGAGCTGCAGGAGATGGCTCAGAAGGTTCCTAGTTAAATACTGGAGCACAGCATGCTTGTGGTGGAGACAGGTGACATTGTGTCCCCAGCTGACTCACTGAGCACAAACCTGACTTGTTTGGAGTCTTAAGTAGATTATGAGGATCCAGTCAGTTACCTCCAGCATCCGTGGAAAATAATATATTAATTATTGAGCCTCATGCGTGATATGATAATTGCTTCTTGAACCTGGGCCTGAAGTGTTACAGCTATCGCTGCTAGCATGGAAGGCTAACTCACAGGTACAGGTTAGGCTGCTCCTTTAATTACTCTATTAAGAAAATATGTAACTTGGATTGTTAAAAAGTCATCTTAGAACATAAAAAGGATCTCAGCCTTAGCTTGCTATTTAAAATCATTGTGCCTCTTTTTTTTTCTACAATAGAAGAAAACTGTTACAACTATGGCTTTCTAAATCACCATTGAAAACACTAAATTTCTTCTTCAAATATGTCTGAGACACTTCTGTGAATGTTTAAAATGGGCTACTTGCTTTCTTAAGTCCAGAATGGGTTTTTTCCTTTAAATTGCTACAACTGTGATCCACCCAGTGTCAATTCCATAATTAAAAAAGAAAGGGGGGTGTGGGGGGAAACATCTACATTTGCTTCACTGGATTAAATATTTGTCAGCATATTCTGTATTTTGACTGAAATAATTTCATTTTTTGGATCCATCCATGCAGCTTAAAAAAATATACTGTGCTTAGGCAACTTGGACACCTGAATAAAAGGAAAGGAAGAGGGAAAAGCCGTTCAAGTTCTGTATTTTGAGCAACTGACTTCAGCCATAAAGCATGTGATTTTACTGGCTTTGGCTAATGATCTCTTACACAAGCACAGATGATATGAGTTTAGTAATGATGGTGAAAAATTCTCCATGCTTTTTGTGAGCTCAAAAAAAAAAAGAAAAAAAATTCCACTTTGTTTTTTGCAGAAATCACTTTCAAAAATATGATGTTAAGTCCCTCTCTTCTATCTTTCTTCGTTTAAAAGAAGTCATCATTAGTTACATCCATGCTAAATGAACCCAGTAACCTGTAGTTCACCCTGGCATAGTAGCTGGACCAGTACGTGCCAATTAGAAGGCATGTTGTACAGTACAAATTACTATTTCTTTTTCACCCTTTGCTATGTTGTCTTTATTTCTGCATCACTAGAATCAGTGTTTTGCACATTGCTCAGTCTTTTCTTCTTAGTATCAAGGACCCCTCTCATCTTTCTGTTCAGTTGCTAGACTTACTTTAATGTTCCTAATCAAATCTGGGGGCTTGTTTCTCATTGAGTCTCCAAAATATCTCCTCTTTCATTTTGTAAAAGCAAAGGTCACCAAATCTACCTGTAGAAATTCTGAAAATGTGCATTATTTTTGTACTTCTGATTTTTATTATGAACTTCAGTGTGCCACTTAGTTGAGATAAAAATGTTGTTCCTTTAGTTGAATTCAAAATATATGTATACAGAAATTGTTAACTGTTTAGCCTGTTTAAGAATATTCTACTGTATTTGCTATGGCTTTCCATTACAATAATGAAGGAAGGTAAATTTGAGAAACTGAGATCCACCCATTTAACTTGCCTCCTTAAAAGGCAAAGGTCTTACTTTCTTTCAGTTATGAGACTGCTCCAGAATTTTGAATTGTTCTTTTGATGTAAGTTATATTGAAATGGTATCCCTGTTTTTTTCACAGACAAAAAGATACCTAGATGGTACTAGTAAATTTAGTGAGGGCTCTGACGCATATGTAGAAGTGAAATGCTTTCTATTCATTTAATTAGGTCTGAAACTGTCATGTCAATAAGGTCACTATATTCTGCAAAAATCTTTTAGTCCTTTTTTCTCCCAGCTTTTCTCAAATCCTCTTATCAGAAGGACTTTGGTATCAGAAAAGGCTTATTTTAAGGTCTATGATTCTGAATATTTTTTCTCACATTAGTATCTGAATGTTTCACTCTTCCTTCCCTCTCCTCCTCCTCCCTCCCCTCCCCCACCCCCCCATCACACCACATCCACACAAATCATTGATGCACCATTGTGGTGTTTGAAAGCCTTTACCAGAGATGAAAAAGTAGGTTCAGCTCTGTTTTAGTGGTATTTCTCAGATGACAAAAGAGAAAGTACCAGTATATGGCAGGGACAGAATTCATGTATGTCATTGAAAGAGACAGTAACTTTCCTGTTGCCCTCATTTGTTTATGTTATTTTGGCAAAAATCTCAGACTTTTAAAATCAGAAAGCTTTTATGCATTTTACATCTACTTTGCATGCAAGATAAGCTGTGTAATTCCAAAACAATAAATTGACATTCTCAATTTAATTGTTACTATTTTATAATATTGATTAAAAACTCTCCACTGAAGTAAAGGTCTTAATGGTGCTTGGCATTATACGTACCTGTTAAATGAGTGTAGCAAAGGCACAACTAGTAGCAGAAATGAGTAAGCTGGGAATAATGCTTGTTTTCTGGACAAGGCTCTAGAAGAATTATAAGGCTAAATAAAGAAATAAATCCTGTGTTTTGCAGTCAATGAATAAGCTACTGCAAGGATTTGTTGTTTTTCTAAATGAATATTCAGAAAGGATGCATTAAGTCAAGTGAAAGAGGACATAGCAAAACTTTATTTTTATGGTAGCCCTGTCCATTTGCTCTGCTGGCTCTTACAGAGGCCTTTCACACAAACTGGCATGGGTAATATGGTGCATCAGCATAGTATGCTGTTACACACTTCGGTTTGTATATTGAAACACTGTGCATGACAGCAGCTTTTGTACGTTTTGTACTTGGAAATAGCATGAGTCAAGAAGTGGTAGATCCAGCCATTCGTATGCTGCATGGCGCTAATGTCTTCACTTCCCATATGGTAGGAAAGAGAAAAAGAAGAAAGGTCACATCTGGAAACAAGGAGGTTTCTCAGTGACACCCTACTGTCATGCAACTAATAGCAGTGACACAGTGCCATCCAGTTGTGTTAGCAAGAGTCGCATGGCTTCCCTTTCCCAGCTCAGCATTGACCACCACAGTGCATTCATCCTGCTGCAGTGCTACCAGCAAAGCAGGTTTACAGTTACAGGTGGAAATTACAGTAGTCATATGGTTATGTTTGTTTAAATTCCAGATAATCCTCATGAGATGTGTCATGGGACTGTAGGCCAAAGGGTCTTTTGCTCCTGAAATGCAACAAGAGCTAAAAACAGAGGGTTGTTGTTTGTGGATGCTTATGACCTGTGGTGGTTTTCCATGAAAATTTGTCTCATTTGTTTTGGAGCAACCACTGCTATTTGTTCCTTTTGTTACATATATTAAAAACAAACTATCAAAGAGAATAGTCAGAGATTTACTGAATATAGGGGGGTTGATGTGTTAAGAAATTACCAAATCATCCAAAACCATTCAGAAGAAGCAGTTTTCTCCTTTGTTGGAATTAACAGCATCTGCATTATCAAGGTGAACATCCAGTACCAAAAATCAGCTGCAACTTAATGAGTGAGAATTTTCCATGGCTTTTTTGGGGGTGAGAATCCAGCACAGCTTTTGTTTCATTAAAGCAAATCATCACATCTTTTACTATAAGTACCAAGCAAATTGTTTGTGTATACTAAGATGACAGTTAACAATCACTCTTTGCCTTAATGAGATTTAATTAATCCTTTTTGGTAAAAAGTCATCACTTAAGTACCACTGTTTAGATTTAAAAGCTAGTGGGCCTCAGTGGGCCTTGTTAAGTTCACTATGAAAGACATGGAAAGGCATAAGGAGGAGCAGTTGGTGTTTCTTCTAAAATATTAAAGGGTTTGTACAATCAGTCATTGTCTTGGGACGACTTACAATTTTTTGGCAACGTGTATCCCAAGAACTGCGTAACGGCTGGAGTAGCAGTGCTCTGTGTAAGCAGCCCATCTTTCCTCAGCTATTGGGAGTGACTCTCTCCAGATTTGGTCTCTTTCTGGGTAGGGTGTTTCTTAGTTTGAAATAAAAGGGCATTTTTCTGTTTGTTAGATGAATAAGGAAAATAAATCCTACTCTGCTAATGGAAGTTTCTGGAGGGTGTTTGTGCCCTTTAAAGATGTATTTCTTTACCTTTTGTATGGAAACAGATTGTAAAAAAATATTGGATAAATAGTGCTTATTATGCTGCATATAGCCAACAGAGATTTAGGGAAAAAAGTAATTATCATTTGACATTATGAAGTGATGTAATTAAATGATTGTCCAGCACATTTTGAGAAGGAAGAGCATAACCCTCTGTCCAACCACAAAAACTGTAAGAATGGATGCTGAGACATTCCAAGGTACTTATAAAACAAAGGAAAAAAATGACAAATTGATCTACTAGCTCTGAAACGTTGTTGGTACCTTTTCAAGGTAACATTTCAGCAGTCTAAAACATCAGTGCTTATTGAGCACGATGTT